TTGTGATGATTATAAGTAAACAATTTATGAGTAATAACTAGCTCAAGCATCAATTTCATTGGTTAAGGTTAAAAACATTTAACCCATTAATGTATTCAGTCCGTTTAAAAAAAAAAAAAAAAAAATTAAAAAAAAAAAAAAAAAAAAAGCAAGAACTATTATTATTATTACTACTGCTTATTTAATTTAAATTAGACAAAAATTATTCTTAAGTATTCGTTTCTTTGATATTATATTATAACATCTGATATTATAGCATCTCATCTAAAAGCTTTTTTATTCTGGAAACAGCTTGAAATGTTCGTAGTTACTTTTCCGAACTATTTTTAACACCAGCCTTAACGGGGTTAAGTCTCAGACTTCAAGTAGTTTAGGCATATTTTATAACCGTCGTTGAACACCTAACCCAATTGGGTTTACGAATACTAATCTTTAACTTCGTAGCCGTAATCTTCAACCGTAGCCGTAATCTTCAACTACGTAGTAATTTTGAACCCAATCCTGAAGACAAGGAAACTCCTGGATCAATAAATTATTGTGAGAAATTTGTCTTTCTGGAAGACTTTTTGAGGGAACTAACCAGCATTTGCTTTACGTGGAGAGGAAAACCGCGAAAATTTCCTGTGGTTAGTCTGACGGCAAGAGGACTCTAACCCATGATCTGTCTAATACTGAGGATATCATACGTCAGCACTGTGGTTGGTGCGAGCCGGGTGCGGTATTCTTATCGACCAGTCATCGCTGGATTTGAACCCGGATCACCAAGTCGGAAAGCGAACGCTCTATCCCCTGAGCCACCACGGCATTGAGACATATCTTTGTATTCAGAACACCAAATAATTTGGTAGTTTAATTTTTAAAACTCTTGTCATTGCCTTGAAAAAAAAAAGATAACTATTGACTTTTAATATCCTTTTTTAAAAAAAAAATGACTAATTAAAAAAATATACAATGAAGTACGAGTTTCTTTGGATTCATTAATTTATGTCTTAAAATTAACAACAACAAAAAAAGAAAGAATTTTTTTGGAACAAGTTTGAAAAATGGAATTCCATTTTTTATCTTTCTTATCTATTTCTTATATATTCCATTTCTTCCATGTCCCTTTTCTTAGACACGTATCTTGTGCTATGTTCAGAATAAAAGGCGTACTCACGATCGTTATTTTCAAGTCTAATTCGTCCATATTTATTCGATGACATCCAAATACGAAATGTTAAGTTAGTTAAATTTTTTCTTAAAAATCTATTATATTCGCATTCAAATACATCATTTAATAAATACTACGTACATCCGACAAAAACAGAATCTTTAATTATTAATTTCTTTTAAATTTTTATCAGTTAAATCCTGTATTAAATATTTCATCAGTATCCGTCTAGATACAGAAAAAAAATTATAAGTTTAATTATTTTTTACTCATCAATTTTTTCTATTCTAGAAATATTACAGAAAAATACTCTGCAAAAATCTTTACTACCTAGTATTTTTCTTATAATTTTCGAATTTGGAGAAAATGCAAAGTTTTTGAGAATTTATTGGTTATTTTTTTAATAAAGTTAATTATTATACAGGAATTTTATAAATAATTTCATCTTTTCATTTGATTTTACACCATTTATTTAAATAGACAATGCAATAACAATATTAATAGCATAATAATTTTTAATTTAATGATCGGGAAAGCCCTAAAAATAGATTTCGGGTACGACGGTCCAAATCGATTCGGACATAAAATTTATACAATGATTAAATAAGTTTTTTTTTTCTGTGTTTTTTTAATGTGATTCGGTTAAGACAGATTTGAATTTTCGATTCGTAAAGTAAAGGGGAGAGTCGTAATTTGGGAAAAATAATCTCATTAGTTTAATCAGAAGAACAAATGAACATTTTATTTTATTTTTTAACAAGCGTTGAACAGCCGACCCATTTTTGAATTATGTAGCCCCCTATAATTTTAAAACCTACCCAGAGGATATGGGATATTCTGGAATAAGCATTGGGTTTAAACTACTCTACGCGGAAGACTTTTTGATGAAACTAACCCACATTTGCGTTACATGGAGAGGAAAACCTCGAAAACTTCCCTCGTCTGGCTCGGCGACAAGGGGATCCTAAGTAACAACATAACAAATGGTGGCAAGTAAATCATAGGTGTGATTTGTTCACCACCGAGGATATTTTAAGACAGCACTGTTGTCGGTGCAAACCGGGAGCAGTCGACCAGCCATAGCTAAGATTCGAACGTGGATCATATTTAGTATTTAGAGCATATTTAGGATAAATTTGCCATCCTAAATATGCACTTCTTCATTGCTTAAATTTTCACGAGTATTCGGAAAACATCGATAACCAAATAAAAAATAAATAAGATAAAAAAAATTTAAAAAGAACATGATGTGACCTGCAAATTCATCAACTAAAAAGAAAATAGTCATGGTTTTATCACGAAAATTCCATTTGATTCGTAGCTACGATGAGGAAGCGAGTTTGGGTTTTCAACTATTTGCTGCACACCAGAAGAAGAAAAAAAGAAGGAGAAAAAAAGAAGAAGAAAAGAAAGAAATCCCAAAATTTATTTTAGACCCCTTTCTTCTTCATCAGTAATGAATGGCTTCTTCTTAAATTTCGAAAGAATTTCTTTTTTCCCTCTGAAAAGCAGAATCGCATTCACAACCTAATAAACCAAGACCAACTTATAACATTTATCAAACTGCTTTTTTTTTCTTTTTCCCTCTCCTTTTCTTCTTCCGAAAACAAAATCGTAATAAAGCGAGAATTCGTAGAGCAGAAAGTGATAAGAGAAGAGGCCACCACGAGAAGAANAATAGGTACTACTCGTATTATGGTAATTTCTTCAGTACTAAATATACAAATATAGGTAAAATGTGGTATTTAATAGGTAAATATTAGTATATTTGATATCTATTATAACTGCATCAATACTGGGAAGCTTTAATATAGATACTATGAAGTGAAGGTTTTTAAGATCCCCCTTAAAGGATAATTACTGGTGAAAATCACGTGATTGAGGTAAATTTTGTCTCGATTTGAAAAATAATTTGGATTTCTTCCAAATTCCCAACACAAGTAAATATTAATAAAAGCTGGAGCGACGTAAATAAAACCGTATATGAGGCACACCAATAGAGAGGTGTAAATAAGCCACACCAACAGTGAACAGCAAGTAATAATAAAACAGTTAGGCCGGGATAACCTGGTTGGTAGGACACTGGGCTCATGTCCAAGAGTTCGTGGGTTCGATCATCACCGACCGAAGACCCGTGTAGTAAATGGGTGACTGATGCACGTTAAATCTGTCGAGTCGCAAAGTCCTCCATGTTCCCATAACTAATCCATACCTCTGGGGGTACTGATCCAGGAGTTTCCTTGTTTTCTGAATTGGTTCAAAATTACAAGACTGCGGAGTTAAACATTAGTAGTTGTAAACCCAAAATTGGATCGGATGTTCAAGGACGGATATAAAATAAAATAAAACAGTTGCAACAAGCAATATAAATAACGTTGTAAATGGAATATACATACATAGTAAGCTACCTAAATAAATGTATAAATAAGCAACACGAATGAATCTATGTTGTTATTGTTGTCGTAGGCCCATTAAGGCAAGGGCTTCGAGTGTTTTTGTTTTCCAGTGGCGCCATCTATGGCCAAGAATTAGATTTCTGTCACATTCATACGTCACTTCCGTTTATAAAGCGGACCCATTCATAGAACTATTCATTCATCCACAGATCGTAATTTAGTCCCGAACCAGAGAACGATAAGTCCTTTATTCAGTACCCCCTGAGGTATAATTTGTTATGGGAGCATGGAGTACTTTGTGACCCGAAAGATTTAGCTTGCACCAGTCACCATTTACTACAACTTTGGTAGGCCGGATTCGAACTCCCGTTCTGGCGAATGTGAATCCAGCGCCCTGGCAATCAGGGTATCCTAGCCCCGAACGAACCTTTAAATAAACTATAGAGCTGTGAATAAGCTGTACAAATAAAGAACTGTATAAATAAGTGACTCAAATAAAGCTGTAATAAGAATACAAATAAATTTGTAAAATACACAAATTAAAGAGTTGTAAGTAAGCTGCACAAATATAGCAGTGAAAAAATGACACAAAGAATTATTAAAAGAGTGAAACAAGTAATAGAATTGTAAATGACACGTTAAGCTTTAAATAAGCGAAGCAAATGTATATTTTTGTATGATCCATCTTCTAGGATATAGCACTAGTTCTAATTATTTTATTCTTATCCCCTTTTTTTAATCGCAATTTTTGTGTCTTAAAATATAGCCAAACGAACTGCGTATTGGTCAGGGAGCTGACCTATCTGTCCTTACTATGAGACCAACGTTGGTCCACCTAATATGGTGCCCCTGAAGGAGTAACCAACAAACGTCCCCCTACTGATACTTGAATGACAAGTGTCAATCACGTGGGCATGGGGAAAAATTTCAAAATATAAATGTTATTAGGTATTTGCATAACAATTAAATATAGGACGGGAGAGCCTGGTTGGTAGGGCACCTGAGCCCATGTCAAAAAAGTCGTGGGTTCGATCCGCGCAGGCCGAAGACTAAATGATAACAGATGCACGTTAAATCTGTCGAGTCTCAAAGTCCACCATGTTCCCATAACAAATCATACCTCTGGGGGTACTGATCTAGGAGTTTCCTTGTCTTCTGGATCGGTTCAAAATCACAAGGCTATGTAGTTGAATATTAGCAGTCGTAAGTCCAAAAACTGGGTTGACTGTTCAACGACGAATAAAAAATAAAATACAATTAAATATATGCCACTCTGTAACAATTAATCAAATTAATTGCTGATGAAATGTGATTCGGGGAAGTGATTTTACATATCAATGCATTTTCTGCTGTGGACAACTTTTATTTCACAATTTGCAAAATCACACTATTAAAAATTTTTTGTTAACTTATTCAATCATTCCTGAAACATTCTTACAATTTTCTTTTTACAGATTTTCAACTGTATACTCTTACTTTGTTGAGAAAATGTTTTGATTTAAATAATTCGATGGGAAGGATGCTGGATAAAAATGTTTGTCTCCGAATCCCCTTTCCCCTCGGAAAGCTCCTCCAGTGATGTCGTCACAGCCGGAACATTTCAAAAACAAAATGACCATACCTCAGGTGAGCTATTCACAAAACTACTTTCTCTAAACGCATTCGTGAATGACTAGTATTCATGATCGAGTTCATCTTCAAGTTTGCGTAACATTGTCTCATTTTCATGTCTACATGCCATTCACAAATTATTCGTATTCACGTTCACGTACATTCCCTCGCTGATGTGGTTGGAGGGAAGAAAGGGCCGGAAAAACAAAACTACTAAACTAAACTCAGTGCTGGAACAGCTCATAGAGGGCCAAGGCCTTCTGTACCCATCTCAGTTTTCTTGACCTTGGGCTCTGGGGTGCAGGAGCAGATGTTCCTGCTGGGTCGTCAACCGAACGCGGAACCCCTACTGTATAGTCTCCAAGCATGCTTGGCACTTATTTTATCGACACACTGAGGGGATGAAAGACTGAGTCAACCTTGCCCGGTCCCAAGTTCAATCCTCGGGTGTACGCATGGAACGAACCCGAAAATTCGTCACATTGAGAAGAAACCACGAAAATATCCCACAGTTAGCCTAACGGCCAGGGACTTTAACCCATGATCCGTCTACCACTGTAGATAGTTTACATCAGCAAGGTGGTCGGTGCAAGCTGAGTGCGGGAATCATATCGATCAGCCGTCTTTGAGATTCGAACCCGGTTACCTCATTGGAAGGACATCCAATAAGCCATCACGGCTCGTATATATGTATTATAGACGTCAATGATACTTAATGTTCTTGGGACATAAGTACTAGCTATAATGACATTAATTCGTCACGAAGAAATGTTAAAAAATATCACAATCATATCATTATTAACGCCAATGACGCTAAATTAATTTGGCAATAGGTACTACTCGTATTATGGTAATTTCTTCAGTACTAAATATACAAATATAGGTAAAATGTGGTATTTAATAGGTAAATATTAGTATATTTGATATCTATTATAACTGCATCAATACTGGGAAGCTTTAATATAGATACTATGAAGTGAAGGTTTTTAAGATCCCCCTTAAAGGATAATTACTGGTGAAAATCACGTGATTGAGGTAAATTTTGTCTATCATGAATTGGTTTCGGGCAACATGATGATATATCGGTCTGAATACAGCTAATCTTTATTTTAATGCGATGAACTATTAAAAAAGTGCTTTGCTTAATTTAATAGCATAAAGCCATCGAAAAAAAAAAAAAATACAGTCGGCACTCTATTTAACGGAGTCGCTAAATCCCGATAAGTTCGTTATATGGAAAATTCGTTAAATAGAAAATCACTTTTTGAAATACTTAAACAACACAAAACAGGCTTTAAAGTCATAAACCCTAGACGTGATTAAAATAGCAATTGATACACCTTTATCTTGTAAACTAGTATCGACTATTAATTAAAGCTTAACCCTAAAAGAAATCTGCATGGAAAGCAAGAATATAGCGAAACGTTGTCCAGTGTTACACTATCGTACTACATACATTTTCAACCAAAAAAGAAAGCTAGATTAATGTTTAAAATTATAGCTGTATTTATTATAAAAGTAATTTTAAACATACATTACCACATGCGTTCATAAGTTTATTTGCTACTGATAAAATCTGTTAAATTTTGTCTGAGTTTTGCAATGCAAACAAAACAAAATGCAAACAAAAAGGGAAAGCTATTTTACTGCTTTCACGAAAAGCTAAGTGACTTCGAAAATCAATTTCCCCCATAAAATGCGTTAACAAGTATAAAATGTTATGAAATGTTTTGGGAAAGTTGATCTAAAAAAAAAGTTCGTTAAATAGAAAATTCACTTCGCTCTTTGGAAGTTATTATACGAGGAAATTTCCAAAATGTTCTTGGTTCCTCCTAGTACGTTAAATAGAAGTCCAACTGTATAATAATAAATGCATTATTCGTAGACACTCTATTATGACAGAAAAAAATAACAATAAATAAAAAAACTTAAACTCCTAGATGTTTGCAAGTGACGTGCCCTTTTAAGAATAAATCAAACTTATTTCAGAGAAATTACTAATTAATAGTTAAAGGCAAAATCAATTAAATGAAAAAATGAAATGTAATGCGAACTATCCTTTAATTACCATCTTATTAGTTATAAGTATGAGTTTAATTTTTACTTAAATAAGTTTTTTAAATAATACGCTGTTTTAAAACTTTATATTTCATTTCACATTTCTTTCAATTTTGAAATAATGGATTAAATATGCATTTATTTCGTGACTTAATTACAAAATAGTGCTAAAAGGAATTTATGAATTTCTAATTCATATACTGAAATAATGAAGATTTCAATCTTAAAAGAATAATTAGAGACATAATGAAATATGTATATTACGTAATATTTGAATAGAAATTAAATCAAAATTAATATTGTTTAAGCATTATCACTACATTCTACTTTTTTCATTACTTTTCACATTTTTTTAAAAAAAATAAACAAACAAGTCTGTGATTTAATTGAAAATATATCTCACAGGATAATTGAATAGAAATAAAGCATAATTTGAAATTACGATTCAATCAGTTTAATTTTAAATTCACTATTTTTCATATTTTTTTCTTCAAAAAATAAATAAATCATTTATTTAATTAAAAATGTCTCTTTTATGATATGGTACCTGATATAGGAGAGAAACTGGAATATAAATTAAATTTATTTTTACACAGTAGTAAATTTTCTCCTCAACTCCTCACAATAATTTTCTTTTAAGGATAAATAAATGAATATTTAATTTGATTAAAATGTATCATATATTTGAAAATAAAAAAATAAATATACATGCAATTGATATGAAAAATATGTCTCTGTTGAGAAAAAAATAAATGATTTTCTTTTCTTTTTCAAAAAATTAAAATTCTACACAATTTGATTAAAAATATGTCTCACATGACTGTTAAAAAGAAATACATACATATATTTTTTCCTTTTGTCACAAAATAAAAATTCTTGCAATTTGATAAAAAATATATCTTATATGATTGTGAGAAGAAATAAATGATTTTCTTTTTGCTGTCAAAAAACAAAAAGTTCGGCAATTTGATTAAAAATGTATCTTACATGATTGTTGAGAAGAAATAATTATTATTATTATTTTTTTTTTTTTTGTCAAAAAATAAATATATCTGCAATTGATATCGAGAATGTGTAATACCTGTTTGTTGAGGAGAAATAAATGGTTTCCTTTTTCTTTTTCAAAAAACAAAAATTCGTCCAATTTCTTTTTTAAAAAAAGTATCTTACATGATTATTGAGAAGAAATATTTTTTTTGTCAAAAAACAAAAGTTCTTGCAATTTGATTGAAAAGGTATCTTACATGATTGTTGAGAAGAAATAAATGATTTTCCTTTTGTTGTCCAAAAAAAAATTTTTTTTTGGCAATTTTTTTAAAAATGTATCTTACATGATTGTTGAGAAGGAATAAGCATTTTTTTTTTTTTTTTTTTTTTTTTGTCAAAAATAAAAGTATCTGCAATTGATACTAAAAATGTGTTTTACATGATTGTTGAGGTAAAATAAATAATTTTCTTCTTTTTTCAAAAATTAAAAATTCTTACTATTTGATTAAAAAAGTTTTTTGTCAAAAGGCAAAAATTCCTACAATTTGATTATAAAAAAAAAAAAAAATTTACCTTGCATGATTGTTGAAAAGAAATAAATGATTTTTTTCTCAAAAAATAAAAAAAATCCCACAATTTGATTAAAAATATATGATATTTGAGAAGAAATAAAGTTAAAATTTCGGTTACAGAATCATCACTACTTTCAATTTCTTTCTTCATCCTTTAAATAAGAAAGATAACTCAGGAATAAAACTATTCATGAGGAAAAGAATTGTGATGCCTTGACACCTATTTAATTCTCCACTTCACACCTTCAGCACACACAGACAGTGCCAAAGCAATTTTACGATCGTTTTGTGTGACGGTGCACCACAAAACATGCAGATAAGACATGCCACCACATCAAAGGATGCCGCAATCAAGGTTTCCTTCTACCCCCCCCCACACACATTTTGCTACTTTAAGAATCGTGATATTGTAAATTTCGGATATTTTTCTTTGTGTCACCTACCTGTTTTGGAAACCGACAATTTTTATATGCAGGATGTGCTACTTTTTTGTTCAGATTGTTTTTTCGATAGTTTTTATTTTTTTAAAACTACAAATGAATCTGAATACCGCTTTAAATAAGCATCACATTTTGTAGTCTCAGTTAAATTCCGTGTAGTTTTCTTCGGTAAAAGATGTTTTTAATATAAGATAAAAAGTCAGTTAAATTTATATCCTAAAATGATTTTACTATAGTTTCTGTGTGTTTATTACAACTTTGGATAGCCCTATTTTTCACAATAAAATTTTGCCTATTTTGAAACAGTCAGCTATAAAAAGTTATAATATATATATANAAAAACGAAGAAAATTAATAAGTTTTATTAACTGCGCATAAGCTGCAAGTATATAGAACTCATGAAATACCTTAAAATATTGAGAAAAAATATAGAAAATAAGGAAGATTAAAGACAAGAGAAGAAGAAAAATTATTTTTTAAATATTTAAAAAAAATATAAATTTTTCTTAAAAAAAATAATAATTCTAAAAAAATTATCAAATAGCCATAGCATCGCAAGCAGTGACTACTCATACGCATTGTTTACTACGCTTGAATACTGTTGAAAAGTGCGATGTCGTCCAAATAAAGTGCGCAAGCCATCAAATCCTAAATAACACCCATTTTGCCAATGGGTAAAAAAAAATATTAAACATCCAAGACATTTTTTTAATCTTACACCTTAAAAAACCATGCATAAAAATGCTTTTTCATTTAACATTATCAAATACGAGTATATAGAGTTATAGTTGCGAACAATATGTTTCCTTCTAATAGTTATGAAACTGTTTAAAGTCGTTTTATTAGGAATAACCCATGATTGCCTTCTTTAAAGTCTTCTTTGGGGGCGACTTAGTCATCGTGCTGGGGATAGGGTTACGTTAAGTATTGGATCCTTCATAAATTGCTTGGCAAATCTTAAAGTTTTGATAATCGTAACAACACTCGGGTTATAAAGCAATCAAAATTCTCACTTTGATAGTTTTGTAAATTTGACAAAAAAATAAAATAAAAAAATAAATAAATAAACTGGAACGTTTAGCAATGTCGATTTCTCACAAGAGGCATGATGGTAAACGCGCCCCCGCCAATAAATATTAGGAAAATAATCTTTCTATATGCCACTAAGTGCACTATGAGATTGTTGAGTCGCACAATAACTAATTAATCTCTGAAAAATAAAATTAATTTTAATTACTACAATTTTTATTACACTACGACATCTTTAGTTTTTAGATTTAAAAAAAACATTAATAAAAATGTGTATTTATTGCAAATAACTGTTTATAAATGAAAAAAAAATCATTAAAAATGATAGACAACATTAACCCGTTCAGTACCCTGATCACACCCATGGTATGTGTGAAAGAAATCTTTCCGACTCCACAGGCCCAAGATCACACTGACGGCACTCTCGTATTACATCTCATATTAGTATGCGTACACTGGGAGTGCTCGAGCCTGGGCTCGAGCACTCCAAACACTCTTTTCTCCTTTATGTTGGGCTTGAATGGCTTAATGGTAATATTCAAATCATAATAGAGAGATTTTGCATATCTTAACTGCAACGGTAACCTTATTATGTGCCCTTTAGTGGCACAGCGATTTGTTACGGAAATTTTTGCTCATACGCTGTGAAGCTCAATTGCTTTACAAAAATTTGATAATTTAAACTATATCAATATTTATAAGTTCTTCTATGTGATAGTTCAATCTAGAAAATTTTAAATACTGCATAGTTTGAAAGGAAAGAAAAGTACGGAAATTGTAACAAACTGGCAGTTTATTTTAGGACAATAAATATTTTCTTTCAAGTAGTTTTTTTTTTCTGAGAAAGAAAGGAATAGTTTTAAAAGTATTCATTGTCTCTGTTGTAAAATTTCTTTTCAACACTGTCCATATAATAATTTGTCTACATGGTGAATATTTTCTATTACAGAGTCGTTTGAAAGCTGACCATATGTGTCCATGTTCTTCGACGGACAACGCATCACAGTCTATACCCAAAGGTAAGTTTTACTTTAGCTATGTCAGCTTGATTTTTTTCCACTAATATTGATAACAAGAATAAAAATAGCATCAATTATAAGTTGCTTTTCGTCAAATAAGATACTCTGGGCCTTGTGCCAAAGAGTCCGCTATTGCTTGGCCCTCCAGTACTGTTGCTGTCATGGAGACGACACATCCTTGATTGCGTATGGGCTTTATGATCCTGGGTCGGTTTTGCAGATTCTTATTCAAGATTGATAAGGAAAAATAAAAAGCTATATATACAAAGAAAACCATTGAATGTAATTAGATGTGGATTAACGTTTAACAATATGACGATGCAGCTGATTAACTTGTTAAATTTCTTACTCATTGATAGAATTATTTCTTTTCACTTCGATTAGTATACAGTTCTGTCAAATTATCATGAATGATTACGAAAGTCAGCGTAGTTTCAAATATTTAATATACTATCGAGGTATCTACTCTAGTCCTCTTTTGGTCTTCGATTTCATTCAGGTCAACGGGTTCGTAGATCTGGTCTGACTTCATCAGACCAGATGAGGATAAGCAACAACAACAATCTGGGTTCTAAGTTTTCCAATTCTTTCAACCACCACCTGTGCCACTACCTTAAAAAAATCCCTAAGTGTTTGGGATTCCCCCCCCCTCGTGTTACAAAAAATTTGCAAATTCCTTTTCTTTTTTTTTACCCAATTAAGTTATCAATAGCATGAAACTAATACGAAACTTTTAGCTGTAATACTTCCTGGGATACGGCTCCTTCAAGTTGAAAATTTCTTTGGGGAAAATTTGATTCGACTATCAGCGAAACAATTTTATTGTGTGAGTACATGATTAAAATGGGTGATAATTCAATTTTAAAATTATGGGCTGCATGCTGTATTTTTATTTTTGTTTTGAAGCTATAGTAATAATGAAGGAGCTAAAAAGAAAAGCATTTTGATGGTATTGATTAAAAAGTTTCTGCATAAGTAAGGCTTTTATAGAAAGGTTTTTGCAACGTTTTATAGAGGAAAAAAAAAATAAATAGATTCGGTAAAAATTTTACGGGATAAACTCTTTTAACACTCATTTATCAAAGCTGTTTTGTTAACTTTATATATTCCAGTAAAAATCAATTGTTTCGTGCTTACATCATGCAAATTAATATGTAAAAAGCATTTTATTAAGTGTCAAAAATATTTAGCAGACGTATTATCACCAAATATAGTTTAAACACAACTTTTTGTAAAAATTTGCAATTTTTATCGCTTCAAGTACTTCATGGAAAAACATTTAAAAATTTATATTGCTGATTTTTAATGCATAAGCATTTATAATCTACAAATTTGTGCTGTTTTGGGTTTAAATAATTTCTATTCCATTCTTTGTCATGCGTTCAAAGAAGAGGAATATTATTTTATAAGCAAATCAGTTTAACACTAAACATACCATAGCCGGTCAAATGACCGTTTACGAATTTTTGCATCGAAAATGAGCTTATCATCTTATCGTTTTTGCACATTTGACTTCATGACTTTTTCTAACAATTATATGCAGTTCATATTCTATTATTATTTGTTTTTTTTGTTTGTTTTTCTGTATTTTGTTTGCTTCGATTAATACTTGTCATATACCTATTTCTACCACAACCGGTCATTTGACCGGGAGAACAATTTATTGCTTTATAAGGTTATCGGACCGGAAATGACGATGTAATGCGTGTTCAACGTATTGCATTCGATTAGTAGCACATTTCTGAAAAGAATAACTGTAAATTCAAGAAAGTACCAAAAATTTTGGATTGGCATTTTTATGTATGAAAAAGTTACAATTACAATTCTTGTATATTCTTATAATTATAAGAATAATTATAAGAATAATTTTATAATTATAAGAATAATTAAAAGAATAATCTTATAATTATAAGAATAATTATAATTATAAGAATAATTATAAGAATAATCTTATAATTATAAGAATAATTATAAGAATAAGAATAATTATAAGAATAAGAACAATTATAAGAATAAGAATAATTATAAGAATAATTATAATTATAAGAATAATTATAAGAATAAGAATAATTATATTTATAAGAATAATTATAAGAATAATCTTATAATTATAAGAATAATTATAAGAATTCTTATAATTATACTTATAATTATAAGAATAATTATAAGAATTATAAAAATAATAATAATTAAAAGAAATATGTTTGCCGAAAATGTACTGTATGGAAACACCCTGTATATGTAAAAAAATTCTTATTCTTTGTGTTTGTAATACATAAAAATTGGCAATATACAATTTTNAATCATAATAAAGTTTTTTTTAGTTTATTTCCTTCCTAACATCCATATTTTATACATTCAATCAAGAAACATGAAGTCTGGTTAGAAATAGGTATATATTAAGTGTTGGTATGTTTAGTGTTAATAAAATTCAGCAATTACTGATATGTGGTGAAAATAAAAATAAAACCATCACTTTACATTGTTTTTTGATAAACAATTACTGAAAGGAGTTTGTACTGAAAATATTTGTGTAGAACTACTCATTTCCCTTGATTCATGTTTCCTCACTTGGTTTCCGGTTTTGAGATAAGAACAAAATTACAGGTTTGTCACCTTTTTTTATTTCTATTCTTCGCTCAAATTATAATTATTACGAATTTTTACTTTATGCGTGTTAAACGACGTTTCGTTGTTAATAAGCAACTTATTCCTAATAAAATAAATCGCGACCATTGTGTGAATGTTATGCCTTACACTTAATATTTCGACAGTTCATTAACACGCGCGAGTTATACGTTATAATCATTTATTCTATATGAGCTCATGTGATGAGATCACAATGCCGTTCATTTTATGATTTAAATTGATGTGGCCGCGAATATTCGAATTGAAAGCGTAACGCGCTTTGTAATTTAATCCGTGACCACTCGAAAAAAAGCAACAACAAAAATATATATATATATATACTATTTCATTTTGTTCATTTCTGTATTTTTTTTTTTTTTTTTTTTTTTTTNTTTTTTTTTTTTTTTTTTTTTTTTTTTTTTTTTTTTTTTTTTTTTAAGAAGCGAATGCATAATTTGTGAATCACAGGCATAACAAAGATATTAAAAAATACATACTCAAACAAACAAACAAAAAATGAAGGAAAAAAACATATCCGGAAAAAGAGAGCGAGTTAAAATCTAATGTGATAAAAAAATTTATTTAAATGAAATTAGACTTTTTTTTAAAAAAATTAATAAACATTTAGGAATTAGTTTAAAATGTACGAAATGAAACTTTTATTATTTTACTTTTTTAATCGTTTAATTGCTACCAGTATTATCATAAGTAAATATACAATAGACTCACAGGTTGTTAATTTTGTGATAAATTAAAAACAAAAACGAAAATCAAATACTTTATTTTAATGCAAATTAAAAACGATAAATAAATCGATGTAAAAGTATAGTTTGCATGCAGCTACTGTTAGATGAGAGGTATAATATAAGATGATTTTTCAATTAATTAATGTGCTCAAATTTTAACTGAAGCACTGTGTTGAATGATAACAGGAGCTTCAAACATTACCCATAACCACTACAAACAAAATTTAAATTACTAAACAGAATCGTCCTGTCAATTAAAATTTTGATCATTTTCCTAGCAGCTGAAAGAGGCCTCTCGATCAAACTCAACTGTCAATGGGGCGGAGAGAAGGAACGAAAATTCTAAATATGCTTTTTTCACCTCTTTATTTATTTTCCTCTATAAAAGTTTCATAAAAAATTCTAGAGGAACACAAGGCCGATACCCAATTAGAATTTCTCATACAAAGCATGCAATTGTTACTACAGTAAACCTTGTAGATTACCAAAGATTTCAAAGTTTCCGCTTTTGTTCAGTTAAGCCTAATTTATATTTATCCTATTACTATCTTTATGCTGAGTGTTTTAAAATTAACTAGTGGGCTGCGCCCCCTGCTCACTAACGCTCGCCAACCCCCGAAAATTGCTACGCAATCTTATATGGTTTGCTTCCAAAGGTTTGCTTGGCAAACCAACCTCGCTTCATTCGCTACTAACTTAGGTACATTGCAAATGCACAAAATTCGAATAATTCAAAACAATCATTCAAATCCATATAACAACTTTTTAAAAAAAATAAATTACATTTTTTTAGTAAATGCTAAGTAATTAAAATCAATTTGAATTCAAATAAAGACTCATTGACTGAGACTCATTTTTCAATGAATAACTAGTAACAATAATAAAACAAATAAATTCGTGATATAAATCAAAGATCGTCAAAAAAATTCTTAATATATAAATTCGTGAAAAAAAGCGCTTTCGACAAAATACTAAAATAGAGATCTATCGGCAAAGACTACTCACTTCTGCCTAGCTTAATAGTAGGAGATTGCCGCAGCTGAATTGTTATTTCAGTTTCCGTTTTTAAAAGCGCTATATGTTGAGCCACCTCAGCTAGATTTGGCTTGTGACATTTTTAGCGGCAATCATTGGTCGATTTTCTAGCGTTGCCATTCGGGAGTTGTAATGAGGCTTTTTTTTGTCACCGTGTAAGAGAAATATATATAGATATATATATATATCTATATATAGCGGTTTAGGTTAGATCAACTTATTTAAAATTTTATTTTATTTTCTTACTTTAACCACTCTTCGCGACACATAGACCGTAAATCCTAAAAAAAAAATTAAAAAAATTATCAACGGTGATGATGACATGAAAATACCCCTCTCTCGTAGAAAAATGAGAATTTTTCCTACAACGACTTTTTTCAAAAAGAAATAGCCAACAATATAAGAGCTAACTTTATCATTCAATGTCTATCCAGCTTCTTTTTTTCTTTTTTCAGTATACATTTAAAATAAATAAGACAGAACACCAAGAAGAAAAAAAAGGGTGTAATAAGAAAAACATAAATATATGGACTCAAAAGCGGCACGCTTTTTGTGGCTCTCTCCTTCTCCACCCTCCCCCATTTCTTTATA